TACAGCCTCCAATGACCTCAAATCCCAGACTGAATTTAGTTAGCTGTGTGTCTCTGAGCAAATTACACGGTGTCTCTGGGCTGAGTCTTCTCATCCATAGACTGGGATAATGGCACCCACCCTCAAGGAGTTAGAAGAGTGAAGAGAGCTAGTGACTGCAGCGGAAGGACTTGTGTTCCGCCTGCTCCGTAAATGTTGGCTGCCAACCACCCCCACGCCCCCCCGCCTCCCCCCCCCATTTCCAAGACGTGAAGGATGAGGTGGCCTGTGATGGGGCAGCTCCTGGACACCATGGGAAAGCGTGGTTTTACATCCTTGCGACATCTGGGTACCAGTGTGAGCCAGTGAGAGGGGAGGTCAGCGTCGGCTCCCCACAGTCATGGTCAGAGCGGGTGACAAGCAGGTCAGAGGGCAAAAGGCACTTTTAGTCTCCATTAGAGCACTTTCTTTTGCAGAAAAGGGCTCACATATACTCATGCGTGATGTTATCAGAATGAAGTACTTTTCATGGCATATGAGTAGGATAGGATTTCAATTGTAGAAAACCACTAGGTTCTATTTTACTAGAAAAATTTATTGAGCTGCAATAAACTCATCTTTTACTTTAAACATTAACCACTCCACCCCCCACAACACATTGTACTTAAACAGGGCAGCCAGCTATATTAGAAAGCATGGAACTGATGGAAAAATTAAACTAGATTATATTCTCATCTCACTATCAAGATCAGATGTCAAGCTACTTCACCATAATTACCTGCTTAAAATCTAATAATGCTTCTGTATGAATTTCAAAACTAGACACTTAATCAACCATTGAGAATTTTATAAAATGAAAGGACACTTTATGCCCCGCCTCCACTTCAACAAAATGGCTGTGTGAGAGCCATGGATGGGATTAAAATTATCCAGATTCTCTAATCAAGGAACTATCAGAGACAACGAAAGGGCAAAGAGACTCCTTATGTAATTCAACCGTGCGTTTGAACAGCTTCAGTTATGTTATTTCTGGAGTCTAAGTGTCATAGTGATACACAGCCGACAGAAAAAAAAAAAAAAGATGCAAACCATGTTTCTGGCAGATCAAACAACCCTAAGGGCTATTTACCATAATTGCTAAAACAATATTATTCTTGGGATCAAACACCTGCAGAATAATAAAACTCCCAGAGTATTTCTACCCACGGCAGTCAGTTGTCAGCTCAAGCTGACCCAAAAATAAAAGCGAGATACTCAACTAATATGCATTTTAAGAAAAACCACTGACAACTGAGGAAAAATAAATGCTTACTAATGAGAAATTGGAGAAAAACTTTAAAAAGGACAGCTTTATCCTTCATAAATAACCAACAGTTAGGTTCTAATCAAAGCATTTATACCATGTAGGTTAAAATGTAAAAAGAAAAAAAAAGTAATTATGAACTAACTTGGTCAGTATGAATGTGTTGCAATGAAAGCTGTTAGAAGATTAAAAGGAAATTATTAATATTGCTTCTGCCCTCATGGGGGTTATAATCTAATGCCTGACATTCATTCTCTGGCTCAAGTCATTTTAATTGTTTTTAATGACATGAGAAGAATCTTTCCACAAAGTCTCTAAGTAGCAGATCTGAACTGGTATGTGGGGAACTGTATTTTAAATGGGGGGAAAACCCACACAAGAACAAAAGTAAGAAAAACGTAGTTTCGCAACTGTCTGCATTAGAACTCTCTCTGCACTGTCTTGTCACCTAACATTTTAAGAAAATGATTTTCTTGAATTTATTTCTAGAATTCTATAAAGATGTTCATCAGGAGAACTGTGATGCAGTTTACAATAAAAGATAGAGAAAGGTATATCTTAATTCTTAAAACAATATTTACAAAGAACTCCTTCATTACAGACTAAAAGCCCATTTCCCCATCATATTTTATTTCTCACAACGTCCCCAATGACCCTGGTGTCCCCAGCTGCCTTTGTGCTGTTCCCAGGCTGGCTTCGTGGGCCTAATGACACTAATTTCAGAGAGGCTGGTGGAAATATTAAGCATTAAGTGACTGACGCTGTGTTTACTAACACTGGGACATGGTTCAGATGGAGAAACCCCCAAATTCAAATAGTTACAAAACATCTGTTGTTGAAATGCTCTCTCTGTCAGAATGCACTCGAACCACACACAGGCTCCCCCCACCAGCAGAGAAGATGTGAACCTAAGGGTGGGGACGCCGGCCAAAGAAACCAGTTGGTTGGTTGTGCTCTAGAGGAGGGAGCTGCTAAATCAGCACACTTCTCTTTTAAACCAGATCACGCATGAGATACACCTGCTCACCTGCTTTTGATTAATGTACAATATACATTTTTGCCTTGATTGCAGATTTAAATGGACGGTTTTCAAAGCTACTAAAAACCCAACAGTCTTGACGTTCATACAGTGGGGCTGCCCTTTATATGTATTATTTCTTACCTCAACGTCCTTTTTCAGTTTTTCCAGGAATATCTTTTTGTTGTTGTCATCGATGTAAATCTTTTGGCCCTCGTTAATGAAGTCATTATCCTTTAACGTTGGTAGTTCTTTGGCCTAAAACAAATGAGAAAGAGAATGAGAAAGACGGAGTAAAATCTAAAAAACATGCACACCTTCCAATCTTGGAGGCTGAGTTTCCACCCGGGGAAGCCGTTTGCCCTATTCCCTGCTGGGCTCTTACCCGAGGCAATAAAATGCAAGGTGGCTCTACTGCCGCACGGGGGCACCAGTGAGCTATGGCCGCTGGAAGCAGTCCCACTCGGAACGGAGGGTCAGAACTACTCCTTATTATGAGGTTTTTGTAACAGATTTCATGGTTTCATAAAACATGAACCTGGCTGCTTTCTTAGATTCACTTTCTTACAAAAAGTCTTCTAAGTATAGACTCTGTATTCTTGGAATTCTCCATTTTCTTACTAGTACAACCCACCCCCCACCCCACTACAACACACTCACTTTTGGGGTAGCCTTTGCTGTGTTCACGTTACAGGTAACTGTCATCTCGTCTCAGAAAAGCACCACCCACAATCTAATTTCTGAATCAAAACAGGCAGCCCGCGGTTAGCCATCTGCCCTTCCAAGCCTACCTGCACACACACCACTTCCCCAAGAAGGGGACTCCATTTTCCTTTGACATCGTCCGTAAAGCATGTAAGTTCTACCCTTAAAACAAGTGGGTAGTGAGCTGGCCGACCCAAAGTATCAAAATATGGATCACAAAGCACAGAAACCTTTAATTTAGCTTGTAGACAGCATATAGGATAACAGAGGCATACAGCTTTGCAACAGTGTGGCCGCTTCTATTTAACTTCATGCAAACTGCATTCTTTGAGCGTTCAAAACCCCTCCCCAGTGCTTTTGGCAACCTTGTAAGAAACAATCACTCCTGTTGATTCCTTCCAGGTGAAAGGAATCCAACATAATACACTGCCTTTCTTAGTACACTAATGAATGCCTCCTTTCCATGACTGTGAACTAAACGGAAAAGAGATCCAAGGAAAGAACATACTCTCCTCCGTGGTCCCCACACTGCCTCCCCCCTTACTCAGGGTCATAAAATAACTCACCGGGTAGATCTACTGAGCTGCCATCCAGATGCCTCAACTTCCTCACGTTCCCTTCCAATTTTATGAGGTACACACATGTAAACTAGCCACATCTCTGTACACACACACGCATGCATATTATGCAATCCTAAATTAGCTTTGGGAATCATCTTTGAGAAAATCTGCAGTTTTGTGATGTTTTTGAATTTGATATAACTGCTGCCAAAATACTTAGCCTTACAAAGCAGGTGTAGCGAAGCTCAGAAACCCAAAGATCCAGTTCAGTAGCCAGTTACTGAATGACTGTCATGTACACAAGGGCAAAAATAGGTCAACATTTCTGTTTTAAAGGAGTTTAATCTTGTATGAGAGCGACACCAAAGCAAGCAGATAGGAAAACAAGGCAGCAAGAGTTCATAAGACCTACAGATAAATAGGATTCTTGGGAGGAGGATCTACTTTCATATACTTTTATGCTGAGTCTGAGTCTAAGGAAAGGCAAGGCCATGCTTCACAAAAACTGAGGGGCCTGGTAGACTAACTCCCTAAATCTGTCACTAATCATTTTAAAATGTAACGTGAGAGAAAACCCTGAATGTGAAGACAGCATATTAGTGTGAATTGTTTTAGTCAATCATAGACCCTAAGCTGTTCTTTTCTTAGAACTGAGAACACCCTGAAATTTCAGTGATTGAAATACTAGGATCTGAAGTTCAACAAACTCAGAGGGCAGTCAGACGACATGCCAGATACAAAACTGGGGTGGTTTAGAAAGGGCTGAAGCCAGATCTGCGCACAGACATGGGAGATGGAGGAAGGATTGTGATTCTCCAGGTAGACAGTGTGGACATCGGTCTACGTGTACGGGGCAGGGGTGTGTGTGGTTGGGGGCATTAAGGATGAAGATCAGTCTCAGCACCATAGCTCTGTGTGTGTGTCAGCAAAGACGCGGCGAGGGAGTCTTGCTTGTGTGGGATGACACACGATCCGTGTTGATGATACGAGTCGCACTGGTGAGGAGGAATGCCATTTCAGGTTCACCCCAGCAGAATTACCTCGGCTGATGGGGAAAGTCTAATCCTACATCGTAAAACTCTGGCCACCTTGCACTCTGTTACTAGGCTGACTTGTGAATTTCACAGGCGCTAGGGACATATTTAGATTGGATCAAGTTCAAAACAAGGGCAACCAGATTGGTTAAAAGACTTAAGGGCTTATTGAGAGGCTCAAGAAGCATGGGCGGAACCTTTGCAGGGCAGCTGCTAGAGGGAACCTGACACTAGTCCATAAATGCCACCCCCGGTGTCCACGCAATGGCAGAGGTGTAGGAGCACCGGGGTTTTGGAGACATGAATCCTAGGTCCACCCCTTGCCAGGGGCCAGTTCCTGGACCTCTCCAGGCTGTCTGTGTGTGTGTGGAAGGCAGAGGCCCCCAGTGGCGGTGGCGGCAGCAGCCTTAGGTGCTGTTAAGCTCTTGGTGCATCAGCTTATCCAAGTGCATCATCTCACTGACTCTTCGAAACGACTATTACTATTTTCATGGAAACTGGGTTTAGTGAGATTATACAATTTAACAAAGGTCTCACAGCCTGGTAAGTGGAACTGGTAAGCCAGTTCCCACGCTGAGATGGGAACGCGGGCTGCCTGAACCTTAGTCAGCCTGCTAAAGGTAGAGCTGAGAATTCGACCAAAACCCATGACACACTTAAATAAGACACCTGTCATCGTTGTCATTGCTGTGAGCATTCAGTAACTTGTATGGATTGAAAACTGGTCTTGTAGGTTGAGAGACTGCATATAAAATATCTTCTTTAAAACCAGAACTCAACTGTTTTCTAAGAACTAAATGACAAAGATGAAGTCACCTGACAATGACGCACCCTCAGGAAAACCTTGCTGTTTATCTTCTTTAAAATTTCAATATCCATCTGATAATGAGCAGCGTTTACATTAAAGATGCACCTTTTTTTTTTAAGTGAGGGAAACTATTTTGCTGTGAATTAATGGACATGATAACCTCTTGGTGTGCCACTGCCCACAGAGCTGATGTCTGCAGAGCAGCACAAAGAATGGTGGGCAGCAACAGAGTATTTGCTCTTACGGGAGTTTTGAAAGCCTTGAAGTCAGTCAGTGGGTCTGGTTCTTTAATGGGCATCTTCCACACCCTCAATGCGGAGGCAGCCAGAGGGCGGAGGAAACCGTCAGAGCGAAAGCCATCAGGTCAGAAACAACTTCTGAACTGTGGATTCGGAGGCTGGCTTCCCACCAGCGGTCAGCCACCTTTCAAGTGGTCGGAGGTTTTAAGTCTTTATTCGTTCTGAATTAAGTTCTGGCCAGTTTCGGGTAGATTGGGAGCCTCCACGTGTGAGGGGGCGTGGCAGCACCTCACTCGGCACTTACTGGGAGGCGACCCCAAGGACGAGGCGTGGGAAGGCCTGCTCTTCCCACCCCACCTCCCCAGCCCGGCCTGCCCTCGTCAGCACCCAGGCCCTGGCAAGGGGAGTGAGGCTGTGTGCAAGCAGACTCGGCAGCAAGCCCGGCACTGCCCACGTCTAAGGTTATTTCCCTTTTGCAGGAAGTACTTCTACCCGGGGGCTAGACTAGCAATGGCACTCATCTCTAATGTGACAAATGTACAATGTACAAACACAGCTGAGGCATCAGCAGTGATGCCAGTCCCCCGGCAACCCAGCTCTCCTGCTTCCGTTGTTTGGAAAAAGTCAGAGTGATGTTCACCCTGGCACTTTCCCGCTGGGTGATGCCAGACCCCGGGTGGATTCAGTATGGCTCAGGTTTCTACTTGGGACACAGGCTGAAGCATGAGCTTCTGAACACAGACTGGATCCAGGCCGCCTGGGTTGTATCTCCACTCCAACTAGCCACTGTGTGACTTTGAGCAAGTTACTTAACTTCTCTGTGACTTGGCTTCCTGATCTTTAGATGGGGATTAGCAAACAGCAGTGTCGTGAGGATTATACAAGTTCATTACCTAAAAAGCTTAGGGTTGTGCCTGCCACGTGGAGAGTTACATATGAATATTCTTGTTATTTGCTGGTCATGCTTACAAGCATGGTGTGTGTATGTAGAGAAAAGTGAATCACTGATAACATTTTAAGTCTTGCTCTGGATTTAAGTATGCCCTTTTTTTTTAAAATAATACCTGGGATGTTTAGAACCAGTAGCTTAATCTGTCCAAACCTGTTTCCTCATCTATATTATGGGAAATCAGTAATACCGTCCAATATGGTTAGCAAGTGAACGAAATGACATGAAACACACACTGCTTGGCATTGAGGACTTGCTGTGTATTAGTTTGCATCTTAGTTTCACATCAGCCATTTCTGACCGTGACCAATACTGTTACACAGTGCTCCTACTAAAGAATATATGAGACTTGCCTGTCATCTTTTATCCGTCTTGATTTTTTTTTTTAAAGAAATAGGCTCTTTAAATTTGGGATATCAGTAACCTAAGCCATGTTTACAATTGCCTATGTTTTCAGGGTTTATCATTAGGAACAAATGTCTCCTGCAACTTCTCTGCGTATTACCTTTAAGTTTTGAAGATACTTTCCTTACTGCACGCACATCTAGCATACACAAGTGCAAGGTTATTTCACTTCACTGCATCGGACATGGGAGAGCAGAGGGGACACCAGAGAAGGCGTGTTAAAGGCAACACTGGCATAAACCCGTCCTGGCTGCTCTCCAAACCTGGATTGAATTTTCCCGGCCAGAAAAACCTCTGATCACCGGAAAACTCTCCCTGGCCAGAAAAACCTCACTGAAACACAAGTGAGGAGAAAACACTGCTTTGTAATAATAAATAAAAGTTGAGTAAGTTTCTAGAGTAACCAAGTATCTACATTTTATATTTATTAAATATGGAATACATACAATTTAATAGTTTTATATATATGGCCAAAGATAGAAATTTGCTGATTTTTTTTTCTTAGCTGATTTTTCATGGGTTTAGTTTTTCTCAGTGAGTGGATTATAATTGTTGAGT